AGTGAATTACGAGTATATTTCATGATCTGGCTGTCCATGTGAAATCAGAGAAATCCAAGCCACGTGTGTGGTTTCTTGTAATGGTAGAAGGATTGTTCATATTGAGCTTTGAGCAGAATTGTAAGTGCGCCGTAACATGGCTGTCCTGTGGCTACGTAAGCGTAATCAGACGTGCTGATGTCTGGATTGAGTTGGTCAAGCAGTCTGTTGTACTCTGTAATATTCTAGTCTCTTGTGTGTATTCCTTGTTTGTTTCTTTGTTGTTCTGAATTTTCTTTTGTAATAAATGTTTTATTGTCATGGGACTGCTTGTGAAATTCATTGTAACAGTAGGGAGACCCAACTATAAACTAGGGAGAGATCCCGGCTCCCAGTGAGCTGGCGTAAACGACACCCCCCCCCCTGGAGGGTGCAAATGGGACTCAATATATTCACCAATGGGGAGGAGGTGAGAAGATTTGTGATATATTATTTGCTCTGAAAGGCACCACAGGAAGCAATACTGTATAAATCTGCTTTGCCATCTAGCTTGGTGCAGTTACTTGATGCTTTGTAAATAACAAGAAAAGCAAGCAGTACCATGGATATAACTTTCTGCCAAACATACAAAGGCTATTATATCAATATTTTGTTCTGAAGGAATGGTGGGAGGGGAAGATAAACAGTCTAATATCCACTCTTAACACATATGTAAGATTTGAGGTTAACACATAGCTGACTGAAATATTATATTCACTCATCAACAGTGAGATGGGGATCTTAACATTTCTTTCTCCAAAGATGTGTATTATCAGATTATGGTAAACTTTACTGTTTAATGAAAATATTCAGTTTTTCTTCACTAATATAACTGGCATCATAGGAATTCTGTGGTATACACACACTACTTACCACTGAGAATTGAAGGCATCTTGAGGTGGCATGCCATATCGCATAATGGCATTAAGAAAAGCTTTTCTTTGTCGTGCATTAAAACCCAGAACCTGAAATAAAAATTTAAACCTTAAAAAGCAGTAAAAGTATCCCTGTAACAGGCCGTGGAGGTCCATAGGGTTGTGAGATGTCGAGGCTCCCACATTTTCTAGACAAACGGCTTATAGATGGCAGCAAGGTTGTCAGCCCTACAAGCCACCCTTTACCCCCCCCAAGAATATTCCCGGTACTCATTTCTGTCACAGGCTGAGTCAAACCCAGGGCCATATTGTGGCTGGATGGATTAGGTAAACTGAAAAAAATCCAATGACCTCATCGGGATTTGAACCTGTGACCTTCCGGTTTGTAGCATAGGGCCTCAACCAACTATGCTACCGCACAGGGATACCTTAACCTTTATCGGACGGGCCATTTAATTTCCGGTACGGGCAGCTGGACGGAGTTTATTTAAATGCCCGCCCTTCTAGAGCAATGAAATTGTAAGCATGTTTCTAAAAATGGTGTGATTTCTACATTTTTTATGATAAACGAACGAAATGAACGCTCCTTTAATGTAGAAAGAATATAGAATCAGATATTCTAATTTACAGATTTTAATATCTGTAAAAAATTTTTACACTGATTCCCAAAATAAAATTTCCCGAAATTCATACATTTTCTGCACCATGCGTTCTAGCAGTGTAATACATTTTCTGCACCATGCGTTTTAGCAGTGTAAGTCCTTGTGGCGACTTCACATTCAATGGTATCTCTTGTTGTAGCTTATTTATCGTATGGGACATGTCGCTATGCA